AGCTGCATGGCTACTTGTAACCGCTTACACTGAGCTATGGTGGCAAAGGCTTGACATAAAGCCAGAATTTATAATTAAATGGAAAGCAGTGCTTAAATATTGGGAAAGTGTGCAGCCTCGCCATGTGGTAGAGAAGCAGAAAGCACTTTTAGGAGGACAACTCACTGGTGTACAACTGTTGGCTAAAGAGACTAGTGCAAAAACAAGGGATTGCCAAGAGAAGGAAGAAAAGACCTTGAAGGCATTTCAGAAATCTTGGAGGTTGTGTCTTTCATTACAGGACCAGAGGCCTAGGGAGACAGAATGGTCTCTAGAATCAGGCCTGAGGAGTTCTCCATGGGCTCACTGCCCAGGGCCACCTTGGTATGCTGCTCTCCACACCAGCACCTCAGCTGCTTTGGCTGCTCCAGCCATGGCTAAATTGGCCCCAGGTGGGTGCAGCTGGACCCAAAGCTTTGGAAAATACAAGCCAGAAGCCTGGGTGGCATCCACATGGTAAGTTTGTAGGCTCGTGGAATGCCAGAGCTGTGAAGGCTTGGGAGCCTCCCCAACAATTTCAAAGGATGTAGAGAAAAGCCTGGAGTCACAGGAAGACATCTGTCGCAGGGGCAGAGTCACCACATAAAGTTTTCACTAGAGCAATGCCAAGAGGAAATGTGGGGTTGGAGTTGCAGCAGAAAAAACCCACAAAGTCGATGCCTAGTGCAGCCATGGGAGCAGGACCACCATGGAGACCCCAGAATTGTGGAGGTACCACTAGGCAATGCCAGCCTGTGAAAGTTGAAGCATGGCCTCAGACCAGGAAAGCCATAGAAGTGGAGCTGCCCAAAGACTTGGGGACCTAACCCTCACACTAGCATGCAGAGGACGTCGAACATGGAGTCAAGGTACATGATTCACCAGCTTTGAGATTTAATGGCTGCCCTGCTGGGTTTCAGACTTGTTTGGGACCTGTTACCCCTTCCTTTAGGCCTATTTCTCCCTTTTTGAATGGGCATACGCTATGTTTGTCCCATCACTGTATCTTGGAAGTAGATAACTTGTATTGATTTCACAGATGGGACTTTGAACTTTGGACTTTTAAGTTGAAACAAGACTTTGGGGATGGAATGAACGCATTTACCTGTGAGAAGGACATGAACTTTGGGGGCCAGGGGCAGAATGTCGTGGATTGATTGAACTGTGTCTCCCAAAGTTCACATAGTAGAAGCTTAATTCCCACTGTAACAGTTAAGGGTGGGAAAGCCTATTACAGTAATTAAAAGGTGGAGGCTTAAAGAGGTGATCAGATTGTAGGACCATGCTGTAGTGAAAGGATTAATAATAGTGGTCAGGGGTACAGTTCTGATGGCTTTAAAGGGAGAGTATGTGAGACTTTCTCTTTCTCCGCTCTGCCATTTCTGCCATGTGAGACCCCTGGGTCACTATTGCCAGATGTGTTCCCTGGACTTTGGACTTCCCAGCCTTCAAAGCTGTAAGCAATAAATTTTGTTTTCTTACAAATCACCCAGTTTCAGGTATTTATGTTATAAGCAACAGAAACAGACTGATACAAATGGCACGTTTCTCTCACGC